AAACTTGTTTTCTTCAAAGAAAAATCAAGGATCTTCCTCAATTAGCCATCTCCTCTCAAATCAAATCAAATCAAAGTTTTAATAAGCTGGCAAGCAATACAAAACTATTAACAACATCCTAAAGAAGAAAAGCATATTTCTTGCTATCCCTCAGTGAGCTGGAGCCCATTCTGATAACCTGGTTAGCTTCCAGCTTTGCAAGCTACCGAAATATTTTTCGTTCTGGACTATAATCAGACAAAATGAACAAAAGGGAAAACAATTATCATAGCAGTTTTGTTTCTGGAATCTAAATCCTGCCAGCTCCTTCAATTTTGCAAACTGACACCTTTTCAGACTTCTTCTTTGTGATAAAACCTCTTTGCTGTGTTTACAGTGCCAGCTGAATGGCAAATTCCCACTACAAGAGGAGCAGTGGATAAGGCTTATTTCCCTGCTCCTGCAGCAAACTGCCCACCTAGCCTGTGAGCCTCCTCTGTAGTTTTGCCTTTGAAGTTTCATCTTGATTGCAGTCTAAACGCTCACTAAAGATGGAGAATTTCACCTTGAAGCTGGCAGAGATGTTCTCATTTCTCCACTGGTTGTGTGGAAAAAAATATTCTGGGCTTAGCACAAAAGCTCAGTAGCTCTTTTAAAAGAAGGACTTCCTCTCTTTTCGGGGTCATTAGCTTTAAATATATGGAGCAGTAGTCAGGGAGCAAATGAAGGAGACGGAAGAAAAACGTTTGAAATTAATTGAGGCCTAAAGCGTAATGAAAAAAAAACCCAAAATCACATTAGAGATGGTTTTTTGGACATGGCTTCTGTTCTGTCCTTCTCCAGCCAGGATTCAGTCTTCCGACAGCAGCCCAGCTGCCTTTGACATGAATTATCTGCTCCAGTGGTGTTCTCCCAGATGAGGTGCCCAGTGCCCCCAGGCCAGCTTTCAGAAAAGGGTCAAACTGTGAGAAACTGAGCATTTTTGCAAAGGTCTGAGGATCCTCACAAACTGGGTGAAGCCAGAGCCTCTTCTCCTGCAATAGCAATAGACTCTAATGTTGCTCAGAGCAGGGAAGGATCAAAAGTATTCATCCCGGTTACCTCAGGAAGAGGGAGACTAGTTGCCAGTCCCTCTTAAATTTTTAGATCAGATTGGATGTCTTAGAATATTCATAGGACATTTTTTGCAGACAATAAATATTGAAAGTGCTGTCTTTTGCTGAAGCTTGAAAAACGCGAGGGTGGGTACTTTAAAACACAACATGCAAATGTGAAAGCAAGTAGATCAAACCTAAAATAAGAAAAAGTAGAAGTAGTGTGACTTTCTTCGAATCTGGTCAAAGCTGTAGGTTGCTTTACTGTTATCTGAATGGGATCAGATATTGTTGGCATGGCAATATGCAAAAATCACGTTGTCATACACGCACACAATCTATTTTACCAGCTAGTACTTTGCAATACTACAAATTAGCATTTCCCCTCCAAGATCTTTCCTAAAGAATTTTACAAGGAATTTTACACCAGATGAGGAAATAAAGAGGATTCATGCAAATGTTCATTCCCACATTAAATGGGAGGGTGCAGCAGAGAGACTGCAGTTTTTATTCAAGCTAAAACCCTGCTTCAGTCCTTTGTGGCCTTTCTTGGGGAATTCACTGTACAATTTTTTATTTTACAGAAATAAATCCACTTTGAAGTGTCCTAAGATGTCCAGAAGTGGAGCAAACAAAAATTCTGACTTGAAAAGGTCAGAAGTGAAAATCTGTAAGTCAGTGCTATTAACTACCACAGATAGAGCTGCTCTCCTATTCTTTTCTCTCTAATAAACTACTGGAACAGCAGGTAAAAGAGCTATGATGAAGGCATTTGGAAAAGTTACTTACAAATAACAGCGAAACCCAAAGGTAGGTGTAATCCTGTGGACAAGGGCTCCCTCTGTGCAAAGATATTCCCTGTCACAGGACAGGAACAGTGTGCCACAGTGAAAGGTGCCAGCAGTGGAAGGAAGCACATAAAAGAAATTAGCCTTCTCCCCTTTCCACCAGTAAATCCGTCTGGTAACAGCTGTTACCTATCCAGTTTATACAATCTCTTCTCCAAAATCTTTGATGTCCAGAAGACTGGAAAATCTAATCGTGTCTTAGGAAAGAGAATAACAAAAATATTGGGAAAGTAATAAAAACACAAACAATTCTCTTATTGCAATACTTGCTGAGAAAGAAAGTTCTCCAGATCTGGTTAGTTCGCAAACTCTTTTATAAACCAGTCATGAATGGATGAAATTTACTATTTATGGCTATGGAAATAAAATTTTAAAAAGGACTTGCTTTATTCAGCAATCTTGAGAACAATGATATATTTTCATTTGCTCTGCTAAGGACAACCAAAAAATGAGAGCATTGAGGCTTCCTCTGAAAGTCTTCAGCTTACACAGCCAGAATATAGTTTAGCCCATTACCCTAAGGGCCTGATTCTACATTACATCAGCTCTAATGGAATTACATTTGCGCAACAAAGACGATAATGAAATAAATAAATAGGTCGCAATATCCCTGGTTCTACTACACGACCAAACCGGCGGGATACACTGTACGCCGGGAGGTCTGTGGTTAGGCACCAAATGTGGAGCAGCTTGGTGGCTGCCTGCCATGCCACGGCTTCCCAGCTGGAGAGGTGGCCTCCCAAGAGAGGCACACCGAACCCAACCCCACGCTAGGAATGACGTAACTCCTCTCTCTGGCGCTGACGAAATGGCTTGAGATGTGCTACCCGTGACATATGCCCCACAGTAGTTGAATGAGGAATGAGAGTCCTCTTCCGTCCCTTTTGCCCCAGACAAAAAGTGGCATCGTTATGCAAACAGGCACCGCTCGGGGCACGTAAGCAGGCTGCACTGCATCGCCGCTCGCTCACGTCGGGTGTATCAGGCTACCCGGCGCTGGGGTCAGGCAGGGTTTGGCCAGCTGCACGGGAAACAAACAGCAGCTCCTTCTGGAAAACAGAGGGAGGGGGCCAGTCTCCATGCACCTGTTGAAACAAGATTATAAGATTTAGGTTAGGAATGCCAATATGCTTTTCCTGCGCGGATCCTGCAGGCACACCTGTGGTACCTAGCAGAGATTGCAAAACTTCGCACAGAGGGGACCGCTCTCACTGCTGTAAAACAGGAATAGCACTCGTACCAAATCTGATGTGCAAAGTGAGAGAGAGAATCTGAATTTTAAATATGAATTTTAAAGCTCTTCCTGTACCATCATCCCATTCACCTACAGCTACTGTGCATGCGAATCTCCCCAGACACCTCTCCAATGTGTAACCTCAGTTACACATCAGATAATACGCCCGGCGAGCTATTTTTTCTTCTATTTGGAGATTGTTCAGTACAAACTCTCATTGGCTTATTTTTCTTTTAAATCACTACAAAATGTCTCTCTGTTTTGGAGGGGGAGGAAGGTAGAAGGGGGGAGGCTAACGCATTTTAAATTTTAAGGGAAAGAACCCCTCCAAAGTACAAAATCTTTCAAAGACAGACTTAACGTGGTTTGTGAAACTTGTGTGTGACTGCTGTTTATAACTTGTACCACACTCTGCCTCCTTCACCCTCTGACACATAGCAAGAAAACTGGATGCAAAATGAGATTGCACCATGGTGAATTCATTCCTTGAATTGCATCGTACGTTTCAGCAATACACAGCGTGGGAACACGTCGATTAGCTCTCGCTTTGAAGAAATTGGATTTGCAAAGGTCAGCAGTGGCTCGGCCCATTTCTCAGCAGATCTTTGGCTTGCTTTTCATCCCAGGACTAGCAGGGAGGAGGTCAGAGAGGAATGACAAAAAGAGCGAGCTTTTTGAAGCGCGCCCAAAGAATCTGACCGTGCTCGCAGCAGTGTGGAGGTTTCTTTTGCTCAAAGCTAATAAATAGGTAGATTTTATACCAAATTTACAGGAATAACTTTCTGGGTTTACTTTACGTACTAAACAATTCATTATTTTGGTATAAACTATGAAATGCTTTCGAGTGTAACTTTCAGTCTGGTGAGAGCTGCCTGAAGCTAATCCGTAGAAACAGCTCACTCGCCCTCCCCCATCCATCCCTCTTTTTGTGTGAAGGGGAGCCACCAGCCTGGAAAAAAGGTGGAAGGAGGCAAAGCTCAGCCCCCAGTGGAAGTGCAAAACCCGGGGAGTTTGTGCTCTGTATTTCTCCTTTGAAACACATTTCCCAGTTGTTTAGCTTGCTCCCGTGCCAGCGTACTGAGACAGAGGTAGCTTCATTACCCTTTCAAGCCGGAAAACTCACAAAATATTTTGGCCACCCTCCACACCTTATTAACATAAACTGGAGTTTCCTCCTTTCCCCCCCGCCACTGGCAGGGCAGGGTGCTGGGAATGTGTGATCTTGGCATTTCGGCGGCTGTTGCCGAAGTCCACCTTATTCCTGCGGTGAAGGATTACTCCTGGATCCTGAACAGGGGGTTGCTGTGGGCACTTACACCGGAAAGCCACAAAAGAGGGAAGGAGGTGGGGAAAAAAGAAACGAGGGCAGGTTAGAAAGGAATCCAAGAAAACCAGCAAGCCTGAGTTCCTTCACCTGTAAATATTAAACACCTCTTGCAGAAATATAGTACATACAGACTGAAACGTGTCGCCTAGAAAACTGGGAATAATGGACTTGTTTGCTCCATTAGTATATTTTTTGGCAGGTCCCTTACATATGCCTCGATTTCTCTGGCTTTAAAGCCTCATGAAGGCTTGTGGTGTGGGGAGAGAGTAGAAAGAATAGCTCCAGCTGCGGTCATAGGTCTCTGAGAGCTGTAAAAACTTGCTTTTCCCTGGCTCTTCCAACACATAACATTGCAGCATTCTGGCATAAACTATAATTTAGAAAGGATCCAAATCACAGAAGGCCAAATCCTAATGCCCTGTAGGTTCCTGTTAAGTAGCCAGTACTGATCCAGGTGAATTCTCCCCGACATTAACTGAACAAAAGGTGAATGCCAGACTTTGCCCCGACTAATTTATTCACGTTGGAGAACTCCTTTCAGAGTCATTCCCAGGGACTCC